CTTTTCCTAATTAGTATGGAAAGTCAATGGCTGGACAAATCATTAATTTGGCCAGAGCACACAGTAAGTGCCAGGGATGCAAGTGAGAAGCCAGGAATGCTGACGAGTCCTTTCTGAGACCTAGAGAGCACTTCCAAAGTCCAGCCTGAAAAAAGACCAACCGTTTCTTCTTTCTATGCTGTGTAAATACTTCCAAAACTCCTCCTGCTTGGCTTTGCGCAGTAGAAGAGAGATGGTACTTTGACAGTGTGGTCTTTCTCACCTACCTGAAATGAGGCACCGGTGAAGGATACGTTTGCAGAGATGTGAGATCTCCTATACAGCTTCAAAACAAGAGGAGTTTTGCCGAGCCTTGGCACAGTGAGCCAATGTGTGTGTGCATAGACTTTTGTGCTGCTACATCTCTTTCTGTTGGAAGCTTTCAGAGCATTTCACAAACTTTAATGACTGAAACTTCTCAAAGCATTAATGTCATCCCTGCCGTTATTAAACAGAGAGAAAAAAGAGAAACACCGAGACTGACTAACTCCACCACTGACACCTCCACAAGGGAGGTTGTGGAGAGGTGGGTGCTGGGCTCTTCTCCCAGGTGATGGGGGATAGAACAAGGGGAAACGGCACCAAGCTGTGCCAAGGGAGGTTCAGGTTAGAGCTAAGGAGGAAGTTCTTTACTGAGAGGGTCGTCAGAAGCTGGAACAGGCTGCCCAGGGAGGTGGTGGAGTCACCATCCCTGGATGTGTTTAAAGAGCGGGTAGATGAGGTACTTAAGGATATGGTTTAGGGGGTAGACAGGAACGGTTGGACGTGATGATCTCAGAGGGCTTTTCCAACCGAGCGATTCTGTGATTCTATGTGATTCTGTGATTCAAATGAATCCCAGAGACCTTAGTCTCTGATACAGCAGACACATAGGTAGGAGCCTTAATTTTTCACGTGAGCAATCCTGTTGAACTGAAAAGGAAATGCATGGGAATAAAATAAAACATATACATGTTTAAAAGATTAACCCTAATTTTAACCGTTAACTTCTCTCCCCTCCCTCATGAATGCCTTTAAAAAAAGAAAAAAAAACAAGAAAATTTTGAATTTTAAATTGCTTATTTGGTCCATTTTATGGAGTTGGATTTAATGTAGGTAGTATTTTATTTAAGTCAGTGTGCATGTCACTGGTATTTTCTCTAAAGTATTGACCATATAATAGGTGTGAAGCCAGACTTCTGAAAGGCACAGTGCAGTCTTTTAACCTTTAACCGGCTTAACCTTTCAAGGAACCCATGGCAGTTGTAACTGGCTGTGTTACTATCTAAAAACATTTGTTCTTCAAATATTGATGTTCTTCACAAAGTGGAATAACATTTAATTATTTTTGGTGTGCAAAGTAATAAATGACCTTGTAAATGAAAATCGAATGCAGGGACAAGTGCCAAATATTTACTGACTTTAAACACCATGCTAACTCTGGGTAAAACATTTCTTATTACGTAGACTAATTTTCAAACCACATTTGTTCTGTTTATTTGCTTAGACATGTTAAAGTTAGGTAGTTATTTTCCTGAGCATGAACTGTTTGAGATGACTGATGCCCAGACTTTCATTGAAGCATCTGGAAAAGAAAATCCTAGTAACATTTTTCCTATGGATTTCATCTGATGCTACAATTCAGTAGTTAGTAATTACATAGGAATTCACTTGAGACATGAAATAAGAACTGGTAAGAATCCATAAAGAAGTAGTGTAGAATAGTCTTATGCTTAGCTTATTCTTTACTTTTGTCCATGAGAAAAAAAAATGAAACTGTTAGTGTAAAATATTAGTGTAAAAGAGACAGCAAATCATTGTGTGTGAATGTAATTTGGCTTTTCCTGGTAGTACACTGCAGTCACACTAGGTAAACAGTTATGTCCTTTGACCATGCTGTGTTCAGACAGAATCATGTCTGCTGACATAGCGTATAATGAACGCCTGGGCTACTGAACGTAAACATGAGGTAATACAACGTTATGGAAAGGGGTATTCATGCCTAGGTTACGAGAGGTGGTATGTGGTGAGCAACTAAAAGGTCCAAACCTATTGAAAGTAGTCAAATTGGAGCAATCCTGGGGGTGTGAATGAGCACTGGCTTGGCTGTATTACTACAAACAAATCAGACATCCAGGAGTATGTGCCAGATGAGACTCAGTATTGTGGACATCACATACAGGCCTCATGCTTGGGGTATATGGCAGCGTGTTGCTCTGAATTGAATTAACAGTCTGATTGGCAGATATCAAGCTGAAGTAAAAGCATATTCATGTCAGAACATCACAGGAGGGCTTCTGAATAACGCTAAGAAAATCAGGAACTCTCCGTTCTGGAGAAGCTCCTTCCTTGGAGCGAGTAACAGGGAAGAGATCCAAAGCTGATCATCAGGTGAAAGTGATAGTTGAATTCTCTGCAAAGTGCACTCGTTTACTTGGTCAGTTCAGAACTCTCCTAGCAGATTCCTGAAAAAAGGGGAGAGGGGAGAGAAAAACAAACAAACAAACAAAAAAAGAGCAAAAAATAGTACCTGTTTTTTATGTAGCTGTAGCCAGTTCCACCAATAGAGTACAGGGCTTTATTTTGTTAAGGTCAGTTAAAGCACTGGAAATAATACATCTTATATAAATATATTTGAACATGTTTGAAAACTGCTGAAGTCAATCTGGCAGTAGTCAACTGCTATGGGACTTGATGGGGTTGGGAATCTCACCTAAATATGTAGTTGTGGCCTGCTCCTCGAAGGAAGTAGCTAATGAAAAAAACCACAATATGTGAAGTTTGGGGTTTTTTAAGTAAGAACTGACCACTCTGGGGGTTTTATTGGTTTGTGAAGTCATTAAATATTTTTTACTGGTAAAAAGGTTTGTTCATTTGCTTGGTTTGCCAGATCAGAAATGTGAAGTTTCTTTTTAGTTTTGCATGAGGAACTGAAGGAGGTGTCAGGGATATTAGTTATGAGCCCTAGAAACCTAATGCCAGCGGTGAGTGTGGTGAACCTTGAGCAACTGTCTTATACTGTCTCTTCATTCTAAATTTCATTTGGTTATGAGTTTTGTAACTTGTTATAAAATGCAGAAAAATTTAGTAATTTTAAACAATCTCATTCAAATTTGTTTCTTCTCCCAACTCCCCTCTTTTATCCTGTGCTGTGTCATCGCTTCTCCAGTGCAAGGCTTTCAAACTTCAGATTTGCTAATCTGAAGCCTAGCCAAAAACCACCTTTCTGGCTTGTCTACTTGGCCAAAAAGGCAAAGAGTAATTTCTGACATACAACAGTGTCAAAATTATAGCCAAGAGAAAAAGAAATTCACCGACTACTTGCTCCTTAAAATCCTCATTTTAACCTTAGAAATTCATGTATATACCATGTGTATCATGTGTGTATGTACAGGTATATGAGATTGTCAAAAGAGAGTTGCAGTTCTCATTAACCTAAACATTAGAGCCCAAAGCAGTTTCCAAAAGTGTGAACATAGCTTTTGCTCCACGCTGTGGTTTAGACTGTCAGGTAACACACGCCGTTAGGTCTGGAAATGGCATGCCAGTTTTGCAGCGTTGTGTCAATCCCGGTGCCAGCAGCTTTAAAGAGAAATACTTTTTAAAACTAATACAGACTGTTTGAATTGCTTCAACGAATGTCATCGCTGTGTTTGAGTGCTGGCCCCCAGACTGTTTTCAGGGCATTGGTATTTTTCTTGTTAAGAGGAAAGTAAGAGCAAAAGTGCCTTTCAGTGTTATGAGGACACTGGGTTTGCTCTGCTCCCTCATGGAGCAATTACCAGCGATTAAGTGTTCCTGGTTTTCGTTTTTCCCATCCTGCCTCCGTAGCAGTGATGTACTATATAGTTTAGCAAAACTCTGAAGACTGTTTAGAGTTGCTGGCTTTCTGTAAAGCAAACAGCTAAACACTGCAGTTGATGCAAACAAGGCACTTAGCATCTGAAAGAAGTGTTAACACTTTATTTACATTTAAATTAAAATGGACACTTATTTATGTGTTCTGGTTCTGAAAGGTGTGTGGTACATCTGCAGAGGCCTATTGTTTATTCATGCTGTAAATCCTTTGAAATGTGTTAAAATGCTTCCCACTCATTATAAAAATCCTGCCACCCATGGATTAGGGCTTTGATGTCACCAATCCTGCTTCAAAGGGTTCTTTCAATGCTATTAATCACAGTTTAGCCTCTGAAGATATAGCCAGAGAAAACATTTGGACATCTTGTGCTAGACTTGCTAAAACTTTGAAATATATGGAGTGTCTTGCATATGCACAGCCCCGTATCACTTCCTCTCTATTCTCCGAGCCTTTATTTTGAAAAGCTGTTTGCGATGACTTTGGCTTTCTACAAGTACAGAGGAAAAAGTTTAGGACGTGTCATACTGTACATTTTAAGAAAGGCACTCATCTTTCAGTTGACACCACAGTATGTTTTTGCCTGAGGAACTGAGTCAGTCTTTAAAAACCCCAGGGTACAATAAGATTGGGGATTAAGCAGGCCTATATGTCAAAAGGTCAAAAAAAAAGATACCCTCTTATCATTTTCTCATCTCTTTCATTAGTTTGTGAGCTTAAGATCCTGTCTAAACACTTCAGAACCCACATGATTTCATAGAAACAAGATTGTTTCTGCTGTCTTTTTCTCTTTTAAATCTCTGAATGAGTCACAGAGAAATTGATCACTGGTGATTGAGCTGTATGCCTTTGTGCTGCCCTTGTTTTCATCCGCTCAGTAGCTGGGGTCAGTGACACACCACCTTATCACTGACTTTTTTCTCCCTTTTAAATCAACACTGCACTCTGTCATGCCCATGCTGAATGCTCTGCAGGCACCATTGGTAATGAGCGGGGTATGGAAGAAGTGTGTTAGTGTCTGCTATTTTTACCCCTATTGTACGAGCTGATTTTCCACCGTATAAATTTTTCCCTGCCAAGCTTCTTGAACAGTTTCTGCAGTATGTGTTTCTTTCTTTTTGAACAGGTAACTTGGCACAGGCAAGAGCCAGAGTGACGGCAGCATCTAGGTCTTTGCCTCCACAGCTTAGTGCTGGGCGTATCAAGGTTAGTAGTGTTCTCTTTGGAGACGGGCAGTTGTTCATACCATGCTACAGTGAGACTATGGAGATGATGCTTAGCTGACATAGGTGTATAGTGAGGTTCTTACCAAGTGAGAGTCTGCTTTAATATCAGAAAGCATGCACCTCAGCTGGGAGCGCTGTTTCCAGTCTTAGGGAAGACCCTATTGTAGAATCCAATGAAGAATCCATTTACTACTGATTAATATTTAAACCTTTGGAGTTAAATCTCCATTACATTGATAGAAATGTTCCTCTCTTGATTTCCATGAGGTCAAGGTTCTCCTCTGGCAATTTTGGCCTAGAAACAGATTGAATTAGGTAAAATTTGATTAGTGTATTTAACAGCATGAAACGCTTTTTTATTCAACTTGTGGGTGGAAAACAAGGGGGACATCTATGACAGATGACCAGAAAAGAATGACTCAGCAAAACCACTATTCTTTAAAATAAAGCACTGTAGAATTTCAATGCTGCTGGATTTTACCGTAAAAGTATGTGATGTGATTGCAAACCAGACTTTTATATTCTGGGTTTTCTATTTCTTTTCATTCTGTCCTGTTACTAGGAGCTCCTGCTCAAATGTTGATATAGTAATTCGTGTCACCCAGACACCTGTATCCTTCACTGTACCTGCAGATACAGCTGTGGATTTCAGAGATTTATTTCCTCTCTGTATAAATGCTTGGAGTGCTGAAGGACAGATAATGGCCTTTCCAAATTTCTGGTACGATACACACGTTGTCTTCCACACCCAGCTATATTCAGCATAAGATTTCTAAGCATGCGTTTTATTTATGCAGCTGCAATGGAACAGACCAGTTCTCTTCTAGAGCTTTAATAAAAACAAGCACTTATACTAAGTAGTGTTAAAGTGTTTTTAACTCACCCTTCAGATTTTTAAAGAAGGAACTAAAAGACTTGTGTAAATGCAGCATTATTAAAAACTGCTAATTGAAATCGTTTTTAGCTGGAAAAAAAAATTCTTATTACACAACACTCCTAATTGAAACAAGTTCAGGAGAAAGCTTCTAAATTACTATTTTACAGTTAGTTTAAAAAAATCCAAATATAATCATTTTGTTTGGAAGTTTGGAGAGTTTCATTTATTATTTGATTTCTGAGTTTTCTTGGTTACTGTATTTTTTCGGTCTTACGCTGTTTCAGTACCATGCCAGCAGCAGGTGTGGTCAATATGTGAAAGGAATAACTTTTAGTGACTTCATAAGGTGACATGATGTCATAAATCATTCTTTTAATGTTGTTTCTGAACTCTTATAAGCCCTTTCTGTTAGTGATGGAACGGTTTGTCTTTTCTAGGTCAAGCTGTTTTCCATTTCAGTTGTAGTCATATAAATGCACATTGTACATCACTACTACTGTCCTGTAGAAATGTGGCTTATCAGTTGAAATATTCTTCATTTCAGTTTAAAAAGAGCAACTAGTGATTTAAAACGCAAGATTACATCATGACATCCTTGCTGTGTTCTATCATTCTCTGACAAGCCAGTTGTGATAAAGCCTATTGCCCGTTGTACATGCGATTATTGCCCTACCATAAACCAGCATGACCTCGTAGACACGCAGTGTTATAAATTAACCAGAGACAAAACTTCTTAGAGTTCTTACGGGAAAATCTCCCTAGCTTCATGGTCTGTCAGAGTTTTTCTAACGGAAACTTCAAATATTTATTGTCAAAAAGATTTGGAAGTTGATCCTAGTCCTCACAGATTGCACAGATCTGAATTTACAACTTCATCCGTAGAAAAAGGAATCTCACAATACTGGTTTTACCCTGATTTTCTGCGAAAAGGTATATTACATCCCCTCTGTGGGTGTTTCTGACCATCTGTCTTTCTGTGTGTCCACTCCCTTTCCCCCAGAAAAACCCAAACCAAAACAAAACCCTTTTGAACCCAGCAGGCTGTAGTAAACTGTATGTGACAGAGTGGCAGTCTTAAAGACCACTGGATCCTACAGGTTTGGTGAAAATGAGCAGCTGTGAAAAGGAGATGCTTACAGTATCATCCTGCCCAGAAGGCAGACCATAAGCTCACCCTTTATTGGCCAGCAGACATTCCAGATGTGACTGACAGATCGTGAGTGCCGAACCTCCAACAACATCACTACGAGTCTCTGCTTTTCCAGACAGACAAGAATCCAATTTGGAAGCTCAAATTCATGAGCATTTGGGCTTCAGTCCAGTCCTTAAACTATTTGCTTTTGGTCTTGATTTGGTGTTCTTCACGATTAAATTGTCTGCCTTTTCCCATGAAATGTTACCAGCTATTCTGAACTCCTGTCAACATCCACTAGTATTGTTTTTGTTTTCTACCTGACCTTTACTGGACATTTAGATACCAGTTCTCGAAGAGCAGTTGTCTTGCCAAGACAGTTTTGAAACATTCCCATGTCCTTCCCCGTGGACATGCCTGCTGTTCTGATGAGATCATTGATGTTTACTTTGTCAGGTGACGTCCTAAGATGTTTGATGTTATCTGTGCCGATAAGGCATTTTTCCTGGGGTATATTACAGAGTTTTCTGTTAACATCCTTAAAACTGAAATCAATCTGCATATTTATTTTTTCCCCCCTTCTGTTAGTCTGAGGTGCGTACTAGTGCATGTACACCACTCTGGGCTAGATCACAGATTACAGAGAAATACTGAAATGTTTATGGTCACCCTTATGGAAATCTGTCTCCCTTTGCACCATCTGTATTCTGAATCTTGTCTTCACAAGTTTTCTTTTGATTTCTTCCCCAACACAAAATCCATTTGCTTGATCTATTACTGCTTAGTGCTTCATTTCCTTTGTATTTTGCATGCAGTCTCCTAAATATCTCCTGAAGGTAAGAGACAGAGTTACTTTATTGAGAATTATAGTCTTTTAGCAATTACTTTTAGTGTTCGGAAGAGTGGTCTTAAGTCAGAGAGTGTTGGAAATGATCATATGGAGCAAAGTCCAGGAAGTGTGGCACAGGTGCTGACAACAGCATTATCTGGTTTATACAAATGCCACCTGGTCAGAGCAGATGGTAAACTGCCACAAAACAAGTGAATGCTAAAATGCTGTTAATGCTCCGTGCAAGCAGGATGCTGGTTGATTTTCTTTAATTCTGTTGAGCTGTAATACAGCAACACAATCTGCTTGTGATTGGTAACCATGGTTATACTCATTCATAAACTCTGGTTTCATTTTGATGAGAACAGCTGTACTGACAATATAACTAAAATATACAAGGAACAATATGTTTGCTGTCCATGTATGCCCTCTAAAAATAACTCTTCTGAAATGCTGAAGAAGCAGTATTTGAAGCTATGGCAGTTCAGCAGAGTAGGATTGCTGGAATTCTTGGCATCAAAATGGCAATTTGAAGTAATCAATAGTAACGGCAACGGCAGAAAGCAAAAGACTTAAACAACCTGAGAATACCTACTTTGTTTGCCACTTGTTATCCGACAACAACGTTTTTTCCTGACATGAGCAAAATGAGACAGCTCAGATTACTTCCAGGTCATTACAACAATGGTAACTCCCCTTATATAGAAAACAAGACCTGGTGGAGTTCATTGTAGTGGTGATAAGAGGTATTCATAAGGTATTGCATCTAGACAGCTGCTTCGTTGGCTTAGTGTTATACTATGATAGCAACAGTGTGAAATCATTGGGAACACTGACAGCTCTCTCTGAACCAAGGTGTGTCCAGTTCTGGGCCCCTCAGTTCAAGAAGGACAGGAACTGCTGGAGAGAGTCCAGCGTAGGGCTACAAAGATGATCAAGGGAGTGGAGCATCTCCCTTATGAGGAGCGGCTGAGGGAGCTGGGGCTCTTTAGTTTGCAGAAGAGGAGACTGAGGGGAGACCTCATTCATGTTTATAAATATTTAAAGGGTGAGTGTCACGAGGATGGAGCCAGGCTCTTCTCAGTGACAAACAATGATAAGACAAGGGGTAACGGACACAAACTGGAACACAGGAGGTTCCACTGAAATTGGAGAAGAAACTTCTTCTCAGTGAGGGTGCCAGAGCCCTGGACCAGGCTGCCCAGAGAGGTTGTGGAGTCTCCTTCTCTGCAGACATTCAAAACCCGCCTGGACGCCTTCCTGTGTAACCTCATCTGGGTGTTCCTGCTCCGGCAGGGGGATTGGACTGGATGAGCTTTGGAGGTCCCTTCCAATCCCTAACGGTCTGGGATTCTGTGTGATTCTGTGTCTTGCATCTGTTGGAAGCTGGCCTTCCTGCCTCTGGTAAAGTGCTCACACCTGAAGGAATGACCATAGCAAAAGCTGAACCCAGCTTTCGTGGGCAAGGTAGGGTGAGGTGGGTCTGTGATGCTTCTGAAACAGCTCTGACATTTGAGTTTTGTCTTCCAGGTGGACACAATGGAGGTTATGCGACACCCTGAGGAAACAACTAACATGAAGCGGCAAACTATGGCTTCCTATTTTAGGGTACAAAAGTTAAATTATAAACAAACAGTTTGACAATTAGAACAATAGATATATCTAAAATATTTATGGGGTTGTGAGATCAAAGAGAATAGGATAATTATTTTTCTGTTGTGAGGCCTTTGTAGACTCCTACATTTTCTTTTGCTTCTTTTCCTTTGGTTTCCTTATACTTGTACTTTTATAGTTTCACCAAGTACATTGATAACAGAATCTAAAGTTGAGACTATTTCCATCTATAATGCTGGAGGTCTAAAACAGGCCTGTTTATGAACAGAAGACTCAATATGTGCAAATTAAACAGCTGCCATTACTAAAGCCTTCATATTTTTTCACAAGCGTGGGCATACCTACTTCTAAAGATTAAGATTTGTCATTTGTGCTAATAAGTAAAAACAATCCATCATGTGAAAGTACTGTTATAAATCATATGGATTACCATTTTATCAGTAGTAATCCTGTCTGGGGTAATGTGTGTTCTGTATGTGTGTTTAAACAGGCAAGGAAAAGGCATTGAGAATGTGGGAACTGGAAGGTTAGGAGTCAGGACACCCACATGCGAATCCAAGGCTATTGGTTCATGTTTTTTTCTTGTGGTCATTGCAAAATGGAGAAGTTTTGAGCAGTTGGTCCTTGGGTGGCACTTGTACCATGCAAAATGAGCAAGTTAACAGTGCTTTGCTAGCCAGTGTGGGTCAAAGCTTCCTGCCATAGAGGAATATCTGTTCTCTTAGGAATACTGCTTTTCTCTGTCATGCAAAATAGTGTAAGGAAGACACACTTCCTTATGTATACTGATGGACACTGAGATGTTCCCCGGTGTGAACAGTACAAGGACACACATACCGACTTACCTGGTAATACAAGTGGAATTAGAGTGCTCTTGTAAAGAACTGCACAGTAGGAACTGGAAAAAAAAAAGGGGGGGGAGTGAGATTGAGTGTGAAAGTAGACCATAATATGAACACAGCCTACAGCAAAGTCACCGCAGTCAGCTTGGACAGCTTGGAATTGTACATGACTTTGAGACTGAGTCTGTTTGCAACAAGAACTTGTCGTGCATGGGTTAATAAGGTACGGGTGGGGCAGAAGTATCAGTATTCAGAAGAGTCATTGGAAAAGCAGATATATGTGATCCTATCACACTTTCTTTTTTCATTTTAGTGTAAAATGCAATGGAATAAATTGTTTTCCAGGTCTGGAGTGGATAGGAAAATAAGTAATGGGCCTGCATTTCAACAGGAAGGTTTAGGTTAGACGTTCAGAACATTGAGTAGTCATGATAACGTACCACATCAGCAGATTGTCCAGGGAGATTGTGCAGTCTGTATCCTCAGTGATTCTGAAAACTGGATTAAAAAGAGATGTACCTGAAATGGTACAGATACGTCTAGTGTTCTGTGTGGGCAGAGGGCTGAACTGAGGACTTCTTGCAACCCTTTCCCCATGATTTTCTGTCAATCTTTGTGATTGTTTCACTTGTTCTTCTGTTGGTCAGATGTGCCTACGTAGAATTATAGTTAGGACCTTTTTCAATTTTATTTTTTTTAATATGAGCCTTCTTCAACTACAGAAATACGGTGTAAGGAGAGATGAAGATAAAAAGTGTAAGAAGTAAGGAATAAGTAGAATACTATTTCTTTTACGATTGAAAACTTTTAATAGATTCTGGGTTTTGGCCAAAAGCTTAAAAATTAGTGAAATATCAATGCAGATGAATGTTACAGATTAAAATATAATCAGGCATCACACACTATTACAAAGACGTGTCTCCTGCTACTACTTAGTTGCATTGCAGTTTTTTGTCAAGTGTGTACATCTTTTTTACGTTCCTCACTAGTATTCCCTTATGGATCTTCTGTCGAAAATGGTTGTTGGACAGCCTCACTTCATCCGCTGCATTAAACCCAACGATGATCGAGAAGCACTGACGTTTTCCCATGAGAGAGTTCTGCTGCAGCTACGATACACCGGAATTCTGGAAACTGTCAAAATACGTCAGAAAGGGTATTCTCATCGCATCCTCTTTGAAGAGTTTGTGAAAAGGTACGACTTCTATAGCATGGCTGTTGTTTTACAACTCCATTCAATAAAATACGTTCTAAGTTAAGTACGGAAAGTTGTACAAATGCTGGTTCATACATGTGTGGTCAGATTCTCCAACGAGAGCAGAGCAGTGACTGTCAGAGATAAAGACTACAAGAGAGATCTGAGCTCTCATGGAGAGAAATCAATGGGAACACTTAGTATGCAGTAGCAAGCCTGTCCCCATGGTTCCCTCAGTGGAGGCAACAAGTGGCAATTATATGTCGTGGTCAGATAATACAAGGCTTTGGAAGATCAGTGACCTTCAGCCATCACATGAAGAATGTGCACATGCTTAAGAATGAGCTGATATGAAACCTTTGGTTTTAGAACTATTCCTTGTAATAGCTTCATAGCCTTGTAGTCATTTATCTTGGAGGTATCGTGAATTATAACCAGATGGCGGTTCACCTGAACCCTTGTCATGGCTGCTACTCCTGCTTTTGATGCTCTTCTCAATCTCGAAAAATTATGAATTTGGTTCAGGAAATGCTATTGTCTTTATAATGGCAGTATGTTTATATGAACTTTATGGTTTCCTCTAGATTTAAAATACATTTTTCTGTAGTATTTACTATTTTCCAGCCTGTAGGATTGATAATTCAATAATGGAGCAGACGTTAATGAATCTACTGAAAGCAAGTCATTCATCTGATGCTAGAGGGAAGAAGCTGATTATGTTTTTGAGAAAGAAGAGACATAAATAGTTTCACAGGCCTTTCTGAAACCCAGAGACTGGATAAATTTACATGTCTAAGTCAGTTATTTGGACTTGGAAATTGTGGTCCTTACACTGAGAGGTATTGAAAGATAAACCGTAGGCTTAATCAATTCATTCTGAAAAATTTTGATTTTTTTTTTTTATTTTAATATATTAGTGTGCCAGATGAATATATAATAGAAAAATGCTAGGTATATATATCCCAGGAAGGACAACTAATGTATTCATTTGTCTATCAAAGAAATTTAATTTTCAGACATGATCTCACCATTCTGAAGCAGAGATTAGTTTTGTGATCACTAACACATCTTTGCAACCTCCTGAAGAGGCTGAAGGCAGAATTATTAACCTTAACTTTTATCCGATTTACACATAAGTGAACTGAGACTATGCTGAAATTAGTGTAAATTGAGAGGAAATTAGGCCTCCTCTTATCAGTAGATTCTTTTCATTCAAAAGTGCACTGAATTTGAGTACAACCTTGAAAAGTCATGGTAATAAGAGCAGCGCTGACTGTAGCTTTCCATTCCTGCAGATAAGGGCAAGTTGTGTTAACATCTTGTCAGATACTCCCCAAGATTTTATCCCAACTTGCTGTAATTCTTTCAGGACAGAAACTCAACACAACAAGGAAAGCGGGGGGAAGATTCAGCAATTTGCCTAACAGCATAAAGACTTCCAGAGTTCAAAACAGAAATGGGGAGTGGGAGAGGGGGTTTTATTGCCCCTTTGTTCAGTTCATGCCTTCTTTTTAAGCAGTTTCTAATATGTTTTGCTTTTGGAAAAAAAAACCAGTGAACAATGCTTATAAAAGCTATCAGTGGAACAAGAAACATTTTTCTTCAACTTGCAGTCATAACTAGTCAAGTGTTTTTAGGAACTAAGTAGTTGAATACATAAAAATGTTTGAGAAAACAGGTCAGATGCTAAACAGATTGGCACTTCTTTGTTCATAATCAAAAAGACATTAGGCAAGTATGAACAAGAGTTTCAAAATGTCAGTAAATGTGAGGATATCAAAGATTTTCTAAGCCAGCAAGTTAATTGGTATTTTGATCCTTTTGAGCAACTTAACAACAAAATGAATGAGCCAGCACTTTTTCTCCCTTGATGTTATTAAACAAATAGGTGTGCTTCTTATCTGCTTGTTCAATAATGCTGTTTTGTAAACTCTTAGCAGGAAATATGAGGACAAAACAATCAAAGGCAGGGAACAGAACCATTCAGGGTTTATCAGGTGGGAGGTAAACAAAAGATAAAGCTCTGTCTAATGTTACTCTTTACTGTCGTCTGTTTTCATGTAGAACAGATTATTTCAGTGTTGCAAACCTGGAGGTAGTTTATTGGGTTAAAAAACAGATGGTGAGGAGAGGACTTAATTGTAACTCATTCACACAATGTTTCCTCAGCCAAGTGTACAACCATCTGTTTTATGTATATAAACATACATAATCTTTTACTTAAAGTAGGAAAATGTAATCTGCAGCCCCTGTAAACACTGTAGACCTGTGAAGTCTTGGGCACATCTCCTTTGGCCCTGTCTCGCACCCCTTGCCATCATGTGTCAATCTTGTGTGCTTGCTGTGAAGCAGCCTGGCCCCTGTCTCAGGCTGGAATCCCAGGTTTCAGACACAGGTTATTACCTGAGCAGGCAGCCAGGTGTGCCTGGCTTGTAGAGCTGCATGGTGAGCATGCATTGCACACAGCGGGGACCTACATTTCAAGTCCCACTGCATGGGATACTCCTTGTTCTGTCTGAGTGCCCAGGCCACTGGAGCTTCACGTGGCAGGATGCAATGTGCAGGTGTGTCCTCACCACATAGCCCCCAGCTGTGTATGCTTTGTTATGTAGTGTGGCATATGCTGTACCGTGGGTTGAAAGATAAGGGACTTGAGAGTCTAATGCGTCTGTCATGCTTGAAGTCACTCATAAACACACAGGAATGTGTTGAGAAGTTCTGTGCAAGTTTAATGTAAGGATTGTCTGTTTTCTTCTTCTCTGCCTGTTTACGTTCTGCATTAAATTTCTTGGTACTGCATTAAGATGCAGGCTACACTTTACCTCTAAGTGCTGCCTGCTCCCCAGTAGCCAGATGCTGAGATGATATGTTCAGGAGGATACCAGCACTATTACCCTATAAGTGATCCCAGTGATGCTGGTTCTGCTTTTTCAATCTCCCTTATGAGGAGCGGCTGAGGGAGCTGGGGCTCTTTAGTTTGCAGAAGAGGAGACTGAGGGGAGACCTCATTCATGTTTATAAATATTTAAAGGGTGAGTGTCACGAGGATGGAGCCAGGCTCTTCTCGGTGACAAACAATGATAGGACAAGAGGTAATGGGCACAAGCTGGAACACAGGAGGTTCCACTGAAATTGGAGAAGAAACTTCTTCTCAGTGAGGGTGACAGAGCCCTGGCCCAGGCTGCCCAGAGAGGTTGTGGAATCTCCTTCTCTGCAGACATTCAAAACCCGCCTGAACGCCTTCCTGTGCAACCTCATCTGGGTGTTCCTGCTCTGGCAGGGGGATTGGACTGGATGAGCTTTTGAGGTCCCTTCCAATCCCTAACGTTCTGTGATTCTGTGATTCTGTGAATCTCACAGTGCAAATTTGCATAAGGTCAGTGTTGGTCCACCTGGTACACACGGTCCCTAAATCGTCAGTGCTACATTTCTCATGACCATATAAAGCCTTGTCGACCTTAATGAGTCACATTCTGCACTGACCGGAGCTAGAAATGAAAACCGGTCAAATACTGCAAAATCCTATAAAACAAGTTACCTCAGTTAATGCTTTCTTCTAATCCCAAAAATTCAGTATGATAGGCTTGGTTCTTATTCAGAATTAGGGAATCACTGAGTTAAATTAGAAGTCAACAGTTCTGCTATAGAGAAAACAAATGCTTGCCTTTTAAATGATGCATTCTTAATGCAAACTTACTTTTAACACAGAGTCTGCACTGTACCAAAGTCCTTGAGTTCTGTAAACAAAATTGTAACATCCCCCATATTTCGATTGTGCTATTATCCATGTAGAAGTTCGTTATTTGTTTCATTTGCTTTAAGATTTCACCAGATCTGTATAATGTTCCTGCACACGTTAAACATGGTAAATTATTACACCTTCCAGATGACACTTTCTAGACTCTTGTCATTCACAGAACACTGGTAAATGGTTGCAGGATGAAGGAGATGCAAGACCTCTAAAAGTGAAAAGTGTGATAGCTGTCTGATGAATGATGCCTTTCTGAGGGTATTTCTGTGATCCTATGTTTATCTGATGATTTGCAGTGTAAGTCTTAGCTATCTGCTACACTTGAAATTCAGTATCTTCGATTTTTGTTCATTTTTCGTTTACATTTTTTCATTCATACTCTCAGCGTATAGCCAAATGTAATTAGTTGTATGAATTCAGCTGTGAACATCTCTGAAAGAGGTGAGGTACAACCAGTACAAGTCAGACATCTTGGAAAGTTATTTAACAGCTCGTTCAGTGCCAAAAACATGGGGGTTTTTAAGCTTTCCAGGGCTGAGAAGGAACAAATGTCTTTCAGGACGTTGAGAAGCTCTCTACTATTGCTGGGGGTCTGGCTGTAGAGGGGTTTTGCCCTCATGCTTTTCACATATTGTTGTCCATTCTCCACCTCAGGCCAATGTATTTTAATACAGAGATTTGGTTTTAAGAGAAAAAGGATTAATCATTACTTTTTGGCGTTAATTGTGTAGATTTTATTCCGCCTCTGTCTGTAACGTGAATGCAACTTTAGGAAGAGACCCTGCTATAGTTGTTAATGGTGCTGTTTAAATGCTATTTATTGAACAGTTCACCCTTTAAGGAAGGGAGGAAAATCGAACCATCTGTTTACAATGAGTTTAACTAATCTGAAACCACCATCACAAATACCTTGGCCATTATCAGACAGTTAATCATAGCATCCTTCTGAAGTTTTCTGTATCTTAGCACACTTGGTTGTCCTTTACGTTTAGCCTTAACTCTGCGTGACCTAGGTTTGCAACTGTTAATCTGGTGATACATTCAACTTTTTTTAAATGTTGGGTTCTGCCTAACTAAGTATGGTTAATCCCATTTCGATGTATGTTTTGTCTAGAATAATATTTGTGTCCATGAAGGATAGTTTGTAGTGCAGTGTAAGAACCACTGTCCATGAAATAAGTGATTTCAGAGTGTCATCAGCTCTGAGAAATCAGTTCTTCTGAGGGGAGATTACTTTTCTCTTACTTAGCCTTACTGCTACTGAGCATGTGATTAGTCAGGTACTTTTAGGGATGAACGTGTTATGTGTAGGAAATTTTCAAGCAGGATGTATAACCCGAGAAAATAACATATTTTTGCATAAACATGTGCGTGTTTATGAAACAACACACGGAGGACTATAAACTTTATTTTAAAAAATAGAATGTAAAGTATTGGCTTAAATTAGAGCCCCATTGAAGCATTCCAGACTACTACATTTTCTGCTGGAATAACTGACGCAGATATGGAAATAAAAAACCAGAGTTGTGACTTTTTCATCTCATCTGCAAACAAACGTGATTTCTAGCTCTGCTTTCTCAAATTGAGTATCTGGTTGCTTCTTCTGGTGAAATGTTGTAAACAGAGATCTCTCTGTGATCCCTGTACAGTAGATTTACGTAAGTATGATAGAGATGAGATTAGGCCAGTAAATCAACATGAACAGTTGTACTTGCATACACCCCAGGGTTTGGGGTGCATTCCTAAGTGTTTACCATTTCACCATGTACAGTATTTGCACAATTTTGCCAGCTGCATTAAGGTGAAACATTTTACCTTCCTCCAAAATATTCCACGTGGTCCATTGCTGTACAAAGATTTTAGATTAGGTGAAATAATTGGACGACCCTATGTGGCACGCACTGTGTTGCCATACAGTTATCCCGAGCACATGGAGCCAAACTCCTTGTGGATCCGCAGTGATGTGATTCAGTCATGAAAACAGGCACCAGATAGACAAAAAAAGGTTTGCTTAAAAAAAATACATGGATTTACACTTTGGAACAGCAATCTAGGGACTTTTTACTGCGCAGAATACAAACTCCAGAAGCATTTCTGGAGGGGAAATAATCAAATAAATTCTTATATTGCTAGTCTTTATTCCTGGTGCGTAATTTCTGCCTCATTTTCGATGACATAACTGAAAAGGAACAGAAAGAACGAATGTTTAAAGTCTGACATCCCAGCGTGTTTAACCACTCACAGGAATCTTCTGTGCAGTGGCTGGATTAATCAAAACGTTTGGAAAAACACCATCTAGAGGCAGTTTTTAATGAAATATGGGGGAAAACTATGTTTGCATACAGGAAATGAGGTTATTTCCACGGTTTGTTAAGTTACTGTCATTCTGAATGGCTTGCTTGCTTGGAAGACAGATAAATTTACATTTATGAAAACATTTGTTAAAACAGGATTCAATAAGAGAAATGAGCGTTGTTTTGTTTATGGGGGTTTTTCTGAGTACCAAGAGCAATTATGTTCTAGAGCACGAGAGTGAGCTAATGGAAAGGGGGCACTACATTTGAAAGCTATTGAAGTTTGTCATAAACAACATGGTATAGTCGGGCATGTAAACTGCAGAGCTCAGACGTGCTTTCTGGTTAGGTGTTTGTCACAGAGAAGTCAGCTTCTCAGTAACTAGAATGTCACTGATAAGATAGTACGGTTCAAGAAATACAAGACCCCTCCTGACTGTTTTATTGAATCAGTGCTATCTAAAAACTGTTGTGTGGTTTTAAAATTCCCAACTGCAACATGGCTTAAAATACATAGAAACAACCAGGAAACTGGTATCATCATTCACTTGAACCCTCCCTCCCTCCCTCCCGTCCTTCATACTTTTTTTTTCTTTTAAATACCCATGTTTCTCCATGTCTACTAAAGGCATGACCCTTAGTATTTTGAAAGACTTGGCTAAAGAATTTGCAATATCATGTTACTGAGAAAGTCACTGCATTAAAAATAACTCGGTAATAGCCAACCTCCTATCATTATTCTGAGCAGGCGCTGTCTCCAGTTGGTCAATCTCTATGTCTCTGGTCCAGGACCGATTCCAGTGCTTCTGCCTTCAGATGCTGTTTTCTTCCCCCTTGATCTTTATGGACTATTTTAGTGGTTCTCTTTTCTTTCTTGTGACAACTGGAGCTAATATCTAGAGATTAACTGGAGCTCATATTTGAAATCATATTTTCCTAATAAAAACAACAGTCTTGCACTGTTCCATTCTTTCTAATTGCTTCTCTGTATTTTCTTCAGTGTGAGGTAGGTATTTGCTTGCCCCTGTGGCTGCAGAAGAATCGACCTTTGAGGTTCACTGGTCGTATTCTTCTCTTATGTTTTACAGAACATCTGATGGCTCTTGTGCTAATAGTTAGGAGAGTGATTTGTTCAACCGGCCAGTTACTCTCAAGCACAATGGAAATAGGATAGCACCTGTAGAAGTATAACTTAATAAAGACCAAGAAAAACACACGGCAGTGCATAAATGAGAGCTGGTGGCAGTTGTTACCATCTGATAGCACACTTGTGCTAATATAACCTTAGATTTGTAAGCAAAATGACACGTGTTCTTGCTGTTACTTAACAGAGTGACTTAAATGCTATTAAACCCTTCTTCATTAATGCATGGTGACTTTATAGGTAGGGATTGATCCATTCATTTTTAATGCCTGTTCAGTTCAAACACGTTTACACCCCTTTTTCATTAACTGTTTGCACAATAATGTTGTTTCACATAATTGTTGGTGGCTGTTTGTTGCAAGGGAACATGGACGAAAGAAAAGTCCATATTGTTTATTATGGGCCTGCTCTAAAGGCCACTAAAATTGATCATAATGGTTCCAATTAATTGTTTACCCCAATCAAACAGAAAAAGACATCATGCCTAATGACCTACCTACCTGATCGTAACCACAGAAATCTCTGTGATTAAAGATAATTATTACATTCATGTGAGGAGCAATTGACTTGGTTTTTCTTTAAAATAGCTGCTAGTTCTGTTTAGCCATCAGCACTGATAAAATCCTTGCTGATACGATAGTAATGCCAGTTGTTTTAATTAGGCATATATGTGACCTCTTCTGGAGGCATGAAACAGAGTACTCGTGCAGTCTGAGCATCTTGCTGCCTGTAACTTAAGATTTATATGAGAATTGTTTTTACTGTAAGCTAATCTTTATTCTCCACACACAGTGGTAGCCTTTCAGCTTCAACCATCAGTCAGTATCAGTGTAACACTGGGCTGCCCACCCTTGCGGTGCTGGCCTTTATCCTCGCGATTGAGAATCTTCAGTCTCTCTCTTAGGCATACTGAAAATGGGAAGATCTCCTGACTTCCATTGATGGGAGTGATCTTGTTACAAGCTCAAGAGCCTTGGACTTCTTATGTGGATTTATGCTTCCCAAAGAATGTCAAAGCCATTTATATTTCTTTGTGAACAATTACTGATCTCAGTAAGTAAAATATTGAAAGGTTCTGAAATGCCTTTATTTGGCATCAGGCCTTGAACAACTTACTTTTGGTGCTTTTCACTTTCTTTGGTGCCACTAGACGACTTTTCTCCCGCTTAGAAATCTGTAAAGATCCATTGAACACACAGGAAGCACTGGCTTATTCAACAGAACTGGCAGGTTTGCAGTGAGATGTGACTGTGCCAAGGTATGTTATGCAGCTCTGTAGGTGACGTACTTATTTTACGTATGTTATGCAAAAGGTTTTAATTTTGCCTTCCTTTCTATTCCTCTGATCTCTAGTACTTGTCCTTCTTATTCCTGTCACTCATTCACACATTTGCATGAAAAATTCAGAGCAACCTTGGGTGTTTCCTAAGTTGCACTGATTTGGAAAAGACCATTATGGATGATTACACTGACTGAGCATTTCTAGAATGAAGCAGATTCTTATCGCCACTATGGTACCACTTATTTTCCTATGTCATGAATGTGCTCAAATATCTGTTCATGACAGCTGTGTCACGATTATGGAAAGGACTGAGTGTAATGGAGAATTGGACCTGTGAGTTCTGGAGATGAAGGTCTGAGCTGGAGAAGAGCAGTGAAAGTACACATTGATTGTCAAGTCAATTCTTGCTTTGTCGTTTGGTTTTGCAGGTATTATTATCTCGCATTCAAGGCACATGAGACTCCCCTTGGTAGCAGAGAAAACTGTCTTGCCATTTTGGAGAAATCTAAACTAGAGAACTGGATTCTTGGGAAGACCAAGGTAGAGGGCGTTAGCATTTTCTCAAGGATAGTATCCTTTTAGCAGAACATGTCTAATAGTGGTTTGAAAAGTACTGCATGAATGAATGAAAGAGCAATGATTTGCTCTAGTTAGCCTCCCAGGTTATGGAGGTACCCTCTCAAGCCAGCTGAGTTAACGCTGCAAGAGGAAGAGTGCGTTGGGTACCTCCCCAAAGTACACTCTGCAGTGGCTGCCATGATAAGGACAATACATTTGTCAGTGCCTGCTGTGGTAGTGCCCCCTTGAAGCTGGTCCTGCTCTTAATCGTGGCATGACTGAAACTTCGCACTCTAGCCCATCCTCTGAGCCTGGTTGGTACATTGTCCATTTGTGGAGTTTCAGGTGAGATCCTTCTGGCTCTGTCAAGGGCCTTTGTTCATGGTTTGAAACTGAGTGGGTGACTTCTGTAAAAAAGAAGTTGTACACTCTCTTGAGTTGCTCTACAGGCCACAAAGGACTTCTGCTCCAGACCCAGATAAAGTGTGTGTAAGCACCCGTGTGATTTGCCTCCTGAAGCAGAATGCTGTTAGACAGTATTTTACCTAAAAGCAAATTCAACCCAGGATTTCTCTTCCTACTCTCAAGAAAGGGTGTATTTCAAAATGGTTGATACCTGAAAATATCCCCTTGACCAATTTACTTTGTAAAGGGGTAAACATGTGTTTTATTTTGCAATGGGGTGATTATAATCAGTGGGATAATGAAATTCCAGGAGCATACTGAGAGCAAATATTTGATTCACAAGATCGCTGTCATATCAGCAACGAGCATTTTACCAGTTTTCTCAGAAACAGTGCCCTAAAATAGCCTGATGTAAGACTAATGAAAAGACAGAATAGAAGAGGTTATGCTACTGCCTACATGTAATACTGAGGTTTTTTGTTCCACTTTAGGTTTTTCTAAAGTATTACCACATAGAGCAGTTAAATTTGTTCCTGCGAGAAGTTATAGGGAGGGTGGTGGTCATGCAAGCCTATATCAAGGGATGGCTTGGAGCAAGGAGATACAAGAAAGTGAAAGAGAAAAGAGAAAATAGTGCTGTTACCATACAGTCAGGTAAGTATTCACATTGGCTCTTTCGCTGAGTGTCTTTGCATTTCAAGTTGTTAAATTGCATGTACATCATTTATTCATTCGTAATAGTTTATTATGAAATCAAAATAACTGGAGGTGCTTTTCTCTCCAGCTAATTGATGCAGAATTTACTGATTTACTTCAAAGTTGTCATCTTAGTATTTGGTAATGTCTTTATTTAAATATTTTGGTATTTGGGATGTGTTGCCTGTGCACAAAATGAAAATGTTGTTAGGTATGCCTACGCTACCATGTAGCATATAAATGAAATGTAGTAGCATGCCCCTCCCCACCCATGTGTACAAGGATTCCAGGTAATATACGTCATGGGCTGGGCCTGAGAGGCTCATTGTCAGTAATTTAGCAGCCTTCCTTATATTGAATTTGGGGAGCTGTGTGAGGAGTTTTCATTCTGACATGATCGTGCACCTTCGCCTTTTGGATTAGGACATCAGGGAGCACATGGTGACAATTAAAATTTGGATGAGTGAAGCGGTGTTTGAAGTTGTGAGGATGTGAATACTGCAGTTGTGAACCCAGAGTTCAACATGTGGGTGGGCGGGGAAGAGGTACTGGGGTGGGAGCTGGAGTGGTTATGGCAGGAGGGATGAAAATTTGAGCACATCTCTGACTCTGTAAACCCTGTAGCACTTCCTTAAATAAATGTTATTTCCAGCACATGGTTTTGTATTTTTAGCCTGGAGAGGATATGAAGCTCGCAGGAAGTACAGGGAAATAAGGATCAGAAGAACTGATGCTGCTATACATATTCAAGCAGGTAATTAAAACATTATTTCAATTGCCAACACCTATTTTGCTGCGGGTGATTTCATGTGTCAGTGTTTATAGCCAAGAGAAAGACATGCAGTCCAAACAAAAGCTATCAAACACGTTATTTCTGATGATTTGTTCTTCAGTATCAAATGACACCAGTGACAGGTATCAGACACTGGGCTCTTTGCAAGTACTTCTCTGGAAGCAAACCATGCTGATGAAAAGCTGTTGAGCTAATTCTTTAAGATTCTTCTGAGCGCAGTCAGTATTACTCCACTATACGTGGAGCTGATATGAAGCAGTGGATTAATTTGACTACAAGTGTGGATGGGAAGCACTGGACGTGCATTTCTGTGCCTTTGTGTTGAGCCCTGATCTTGGCAGGCTGTCAGGTTTTCATTTCGACTGCTTGCTGGGCTTGCCAGCTTTGGCCAATTTTTTGACTCTCTGCCAGACTCCTATGCAGCCGTATCAATATGAATTTGAATAAACTGTAAAGAGATTATTGGAGGAACAGGCCCATAGGGCTGTGTAGGTCTCTAGTAGAGAGCAGGGTACCATATGGCACAGAAATCTAAGAACCAGTGCCGTGAACTCAATGGTGTTTTCAGATGCTGCCAATATGAAGCAGCCTCCATATGATGCAGTGTAATACACCTTCCCTGTCCAACCCCAGGTTGAAAGACTGTAGCTGATCAAAACTGAGTCGTAGCAAATATGTTTACAGATAAACCAAGGTACCACCTTTATTCCACCAACTTCCCGTGCTGTCATTCCTGAAGCTTTGTCACCTCTCTAGTCTGTATCATATAATCTAACGTCAATCTGTAAAGGATGTGTTCTGAATGTTCTCCTACTTTGTTTTCAAGACATTTCCAGTGAATTCATTCGGTTTTCATTTGTCTAAGTTTACTGCTTTGAAATTAAGCATCACTGTGACTTTCAGCAGAAAACAAAATACCAGTCTAGCTACAGAAAGGAACAGAGCATCATTAGGATAAAATAGCAGTTTATAGTTGGGCATGCATACGGCTGTGTAGAATCATGAACTAAAGCCCTAGGGTCAAAGGCAGGGTATTCTGTTAAATGGAGAACTGTTAAGGATAATTTTTTTCTCCCATTACAAGCAGCACTGTGGGACTGTCTAAGCACTCTCTCCCCTTCTTCCTCTCCTTTGTGTTGTCATTTTCTATTGTTTTCATGACAGCACAGAGAGCAGACCTTAAAGTACCAATGCAACTGTTTTCTGGAATATTTACTATATTTACACTTGGCCATACCTGGACTTTGTTTTCTTGACTTTTACAACAGCCTTTTGCTGTAAAAAGGAAAGTCAAATAGTTGACCCATCACTGTCCCACTATTATGGGTTCCTTAGAATGAGAGCTATCTCAGGTTTGGTAGGAAGGTGGTGTGTAGCAGCATCACCTCGAGATTCTGCTCTCCAGGGGACATTCTGCTTAGAGTTATATCCTTCCAGATTTCCCCGGTGTGGAGAAGTGACATGCTTGTTACTAGCTCTTTAGATCTAGAAAACAACTGCTCTGTTCTGCTGTTTGTACACATGGGAGAGTTTCAGAGCTGTGTTCCTTCATGCCACCTCTGAGATGTGACACTGAGCATGCCAGAGCAGAGACAGTAGGAGTGTACACATACACCTGAACTTGGGCACTTCTGCCCTGTTGAGCCCTCTGGACCTAATGCTGGAGGAATGCTGCTAGCACTCTTGCCACCAGCACACACTCTGTCTTCCATTGTACCTGGCACTTGACAGTTTCAGTGATCAGTCTGGGTGAGTAAGCATTAGACTGTAGGGTTGAGAGTGACTCTGTGCACCTTTGTATTAATTAGGCTGTCTGCTCCTCCTATCTTTGGTGCTGCATTTGAAGGGATATAATCATAGTAAGAACCCTCAACACATTTCTGTCTGCCTTTGGAAACCTGGATCTAGGACTTGTTACTTGAAAATGCTTCTTGTGCACATTTTCTCCTGTCTACATGCTAATTATTCCGTGTTTCAAATCAAAGCTCATGCTTGCTAATGGTGGCCATTTTCCAGGTTTTAAAATACACTGACAGTCTTGCTGTTGTTTACATTACACTGTCCAAGTGCCTGGTGACATGGAGACAAAAGCAACTCCAAATCTCTCCCTTCCCTGCACATCTGATAATGTGAGTGTGTAGTTCAAGGCAGCTTTTCAGTAAAAAGGAGAATTATCACCTTTGTATTTTTTTTGTAAATGAGCCATTTCAGGCAGTGAGATAGATTGTTTGCATTTGTCATCCAGATATTAGCAAAACCATATAATTAAAATATATGTACTTCCCTCTCCTCTCCCTCCCCTCTCCCCCTCAGCTCAAGCAGGCCTTGAAATTTAGGAAGCATTTGGCTTACATGTTTCTACAGAACAGCGCATATTGAAATTTGTTTTCCTTTCATCTCTTTCCCAATAAAAGCAGCCGCTCGGCTTATCCCTTTAGCTTCCTCAGAACTTCCTTTCAGAATTCCCGATCTATTACAGCACATTCACATACCAGAAACAAGATGCCTTTTCATGCTGTCAACCTTTTTCATCTGAAATGTAAATTAATTCTTGCTGGTACGCTTTGACAGAGATCAAAGTAGGGGTATTAACCTTATTGGGCCTTCTCTTCATCAGAATCAGTTCCAAAGACTGCGAGGGTAGTGTTAGGAGGCCAGTCTTCACTGTTATCTATGGCCCTCCTCCAGGCAGTCCTCTGTCTACAAGTCAGCATTTCAAAGGCGCTGATTCCTTTTGTAAATGACCTTATCATTACTTTAAACTGTGTGAAAAATGATTTGCCTGAATAATTCTTGCAGGATTATCCTGCTCATTTTAATTGTGGGGGGACTTCATTCAGATTCCAGGATATTGTTTAAGTGGTTTTGACAGCGAGTGATCATAGCCTGATATAAAGGAGGAACACAGCTCCTGATTGGAAACCTCTTGACTTGTTCAGATTGTTCATTTCTTGCAAGTCAGTCTTTGAGGTAGGCTGCATTTGCATTTTAAAAATAAACAGATGCCTTTCAAATACATGAGCTGGTGGTCTGGAGATCTCTGTGGGCCCAGCAGTTCACTATCCATTGATGAAATGTTGGAAGAAAAAACAAACTTAGGGAAAAAAACAGCCCTCGCAATATACATGAGGATACAATTCCTTGGTGTATAGTATTACAGGGAAAAAAAAAAGTCATTATTTCAGATGGGGGAAAACACCCTTGCTAGGAAACAAAATATTTGTGCATTTAAATTAGGTAGGGAAGGAAAAGCTACCCTACCTTAGCATATCTACATTGCAGGTTGTCAGAATACAAAGCTATTAGACTCGTGGCTGAAATGGTACACAGCGTACACAAGGTCTGTCCTACTGCTTCCAGTCACACTTTCCCAAACTGCGAAGGTTAGAAAATGCTCATTCTTGAACTAAGAGATTAAATGTAAAGAATATTTTGTGTAAAGTGTTAGAGTTAAAAATACTTCGCACTTCTAAGTGAAAAATTCTTTTTAATTAGGATTTGTGTTGTTTTGATGTAAGTCTACATAAAAGGAAAAATATTTTGTTAAAATAAAGACTTTTCTTAAAAACTGCGTGTCCAGATTCACAGCTGGTTTAAATCTGTATATATCCACTGAATCATTGAAATGTTGCTGCACTGATTTACCTCACGTGCAAGTCTCATTTAATGTTTCTTTGTGTTAGAACAATGCATTAATTAGAATTTAAAACAACGGCTAATACAATTATAAAAGGACATTTTCTGCTATGATAGCATGTATTTCCATGCAGCATGACTGTTGTCCCAGAAGATTTAAGGGAGGATTTTAATCTGGTTATTTCATTTGTGAACTGACATTGCCAAAATGCCAAATGAGCGGTGCATGCGATTCACTTAGATCCGAGGTGACATCACTGAATTCATTTTAATTAGGCCCACTTTAGCCATCTGGAATACACTGTGCAGCTCTGGTCAGGACGGAGTTTAACTATGCTTCCAGAGGTGAAAGGCAAATGACTAATCCATTGAGCCACCGTCTCCTCCTCCAACACGTGCTCGCACACTCACCATATGTCACATTGTATTGGAAAATTCTTTATCAAGAACTCAAGATTTGGACTCTTTCCTTTTTTTAAAATAAGAAGTGATAGATGTTCAGAAGGAAAACAGATGAAGCACCCCGTTTTAAATGGCTTTCTTTCTGTAACTTCTGCCCGTGCGGTTTTGCTCACGATTTACGTATCTCTAGCATGTGCTTCTGGCAAAATTTACTCCATTATAATGAAAAAAAAGAGGGCCTGAGAACAGCTGTAATTTGCTATTTTACATTTATAATAAATGTGAGCTTTTAATAAAAGTGTTCCCCTTGGGATTTTCACAGCAAAGATTTCATGTTGGCTTCAAGAGCAGACAAGGAAGCATTTCTTGAAAACTCCGTGTTTATCCGTCTATTTGTATCCCTGTGTACATATGTGCACACATGTGGTTGACTAATACTGTTGTATAGATCTAAGAGCTACATGAGTAAAATGTTCCAAAACCTTCTAAGTGCATTGTAAATATACCTAAGTTTGGGGGTTTTTTCCTGAAGATAACAACCACTAAGTGGCAGATCCATTTTTACTTTTTTATATCATTAATTTTCTTCCTTTTAACTAAATTGTCAGTGTAAGAACCATTGAAGAGATGTATGTGTTTCTCTCAATGACAGCTGAACCGACTCATTGATTTCACAGGCAGGGTACATCAGGCTGGTTTGCACAGGCTGCACAGCTTTGGTTAACTTTACTCTTCCATCTCTCTGTGTTCTGTACTGGCTTAGGGCATCCAGTAGTTCTTCACTTTTCGTTCCTATCTCTAGTAACCATTAAAAGCCTGCTGCTTGTGTGCAGAGAGCCTGTTAGGAAAAGTGAGAAAGCCTTATGGTTTTGAAGTCCAATATTCTCCTCATCTCTGAGCTAAGCTCTGTGAATACATCTGCATTTCCTTT